AACAAAAGCTTGTGAACTGCATAATAGCTAGATGCTTAAACCAAAGCTGTCAGTACAGAAATATGAGAGCTGCCATTGTTGACTTGATTTAAAGGCACATGCAAACGTTGTGTCCCATCCCACACCCATTCACAATTAAATAAAAAAAAAACCCCACAAACTCTTCTACTCGCTACAGCCCACTGACATGTTGCTTCTTCTGGGTGTAGAGGCCAGTGATCCAACACAGTCTGTGCCTGCTGTCAACCGATCTTGTTTGGAACACCATCACTCTGCTGCAGTTTTTTGGAGTCCAAAAGGATCTCACCACTGGACAACCAATGGGAAGTGTCCATGTCTCCCAGCCAGCATTGTAGACATCTGAAGAAGGACTCTACCACTCAAGTCCAGGAGACCTGGCATGTCATGTGACCACATATTTAGGTCTTTTTAACCCAGAGATTAGTTGCTGGTGGGGGGAGGAGAAGTGTAGTCCACATTCCTGGAGATCAGCTGGTACAAGCTCCTGAGTCTTGTCTCTGCCTCTTTTCAAGATGTCATCACACTGCGGCGTCAGATTTGTTTGTGTTGGCTAGGGCAGCACAAATTCTAAATACACTAAATACACTCCTGAGTAGGATTATGAATCATACAAAAAACTCTCATCAATGCAGGTTGAAGGGCTCCAGTACAGAGGTTACAAAGAGTCTTAACCTCTTTGCGCCGGCCGCACGCAAATGTGCAGCCTCCCGGCGTCTGGGCATTAATGCCGAGTGGCCGCACGTTTGCGTGCAATTAAGAAAAACATATGCGCACCCTGCGCTCTCCCAGCACACATGTCCGGTACTCACGGAAAGGTCCCGATCTCCTCTTTCGATCGGGACCTTTCCCAATCATGTGACTGGCGTGACAGCGAATCATGGCGGTCACTTGACCCTAAAACCCCACCCTGCCTCCCGAGTTCTGAAACCCTTAAAAGGTCAGGAGGCACCGGCGCCAAGAGGTTAAGAGGGACAAAAGACTCTAACCCTGGGTCCGGGTTGTACTGAGGACCAGCATGCTATGTGCAGGTGTGCACAGCCTTTATAATCAAGGGGCTGGTGGTAGTTTGTGTCTCTGCCCAGGAGACAGGACTTCTCCTGCCCAGAAGCCAGGGTATGGGCCAGAGCAACAGGGAACTGAGAGAAAGAGAGCTGAGAAAGCCAAGAGAGCTGAGAGGGAGGTGCAGAATTGCATGTGGGGACAGTGGTTCTGAGAAATGGTGGAGGAGGCTTGATGTAATTTTTCTTTGTGTTTTGAAGTGAAGGTGGAACCCTCTGCGAGGACAATTGTTTTGTTGGAACATTTACTTTCTTTTTAAATAAAAGCTGGCCAACAAGTCCTAAAACAGTGTTTCCTGGCTGGACGGAACTCACCGGAAAAGCACTACATTTGATTGAAACCCCACAAATATAACATTTTTCTAATATAATATTATATGTTATTATATTATAGAGGTATATGGTATTACATTATAATGCTATAGCAGCTGTAGCTTTTGAATGAAAATACTCTTGCATCTAACTGTGTTTTAACGACGATGTAGCACCTTCTTGGCTCCTTCTGATATTTAGGGAGCAGTGATTGTTTGTTCAAGCCCGCTCAGGGGTCTCACTGGCTGGGAGTTTGATTGCTTCCCCCTGTCTTTGAAATACACTTCCAGAACGTAAAGCAGGAGATTCAGAACAACAAGCCTGAATATTTAGTGGGTTCTAGCCAATCACCTGGAGGAGTGCCCAGTGGGGAGTTGGAATGGAGATAAAAAGTTTGAGACACTAGAGAGAAGACTTCCTTTTCCCCAGAAGGGTTCCAGAGCCAGAGGGGCTGCTGCCCTCAGGCTGCCCTTAGACTACACAGCTGATATTGAGCAGTGCAAGAACTGCACTTTGCTTGGAGCTCATTCCAGAACCACATCACAAGTGATATTGTCCTGAGAAGTGCTGTCTCACTCACACTAGACCATGTCCAGAGGAAGCTAGAAGGAGGCAGCTGTCTGTCAGCACCTGCGGTAGTGAGCCCTTGTAGATAGTCAACTTGGGGTTCTCCAGGGTGCGGAGTCTAAACCCCAGCCTGCCTCTTCACCAGAGCCCCTGATGGTGGGGATGGACTTGCAGCAAGCTGGGACCAGGTCGCAGCCTCCAAGTACGCCCAGTTGAGGATGAGGAGGCCGCTCGCGGGAGCAGAGTACAATGGGAGGAGACAAACGGAAATCCAATAGACTAGCCGAGGTCACGACAGGCAGAAAACAAGCACAGTCAGAGAACAAAGCTGGGTCGGTACACAAGTAGTCAATGCAGGATACAGGCAATAGCAACACACAGGAGCTCCGACAACCAGGAAGTTGCTCAGGCAAAGTGGCCTAGACTGGGCATGTCTTATATAGGCAGGCAAACAAAGAGGCGGGCCAGGAAGTGATGGAAGAGAAGGAAATAAAACCCAGAGGATAGCAGACGACGCCCATAGGTGAGCACAGACAAACACATATGTGAAAGGGATCAGGAACAGCACTGCAGCAAGGAGGTAAGAACACAAACAAGAAACTGCAGGCTAACTTGTGACACTGTCCTAGGGACATGTAAGTAATGATCTTAAATTGATCCTTGTGACTGGGTAGTATACTGGAAGCTGCATTGGGTACCGATAGAAGTGTATTGGTACAAGGGAACCAGATGCCAACACATAGACTTGTCCATTCGTCTTCAGCTGTGGGACCTTAGCCTATCTAACGTTCATTACTACTCCTAGAGAAGACTGTTCTCTAATTACTAAATACTGAGTGATTCGGAGTATCCCGTGCCCCAGTTCCCCTCTCCTGTTGAAGTTCTTTGAGCAATAAAACTTAAGACACCCCTTGGCTGCTTATTGGAGCCAGGATGAATGGAATATTGCTTTTGAGGATGGCCAGCCTCTGTACTTGTGAAGGAAAAACTAGTTAATATCAGTGACCCCTTTGGTTGTAGAACCAAAACAGCATCCCTTTTTATGTTAATTAAATATTAGATAATTATTTATATATCCTTTTATTTAAACCTGATGAAGCTGGACCACAGAAATCACTGAAATGTGTTAGCTTTTTTCTGTGTTGTGTACACTTTATTCAAAAATAAATCATTTTGGACTCCCTACAACTGGCCTGGTTTTCCATCTCTCTCCAACCACTTGAAATAAAAAAAAAAGCAGTAGGGACATTTAATACATCTGCTCTGGCTGTGTAATTAAGCTGTTTGCCTAGGTTTCCACTTTAACTGTTTTGTATAGCCCTGACATTTTTCTGCACATGTAACAGGCATATCGTAAGCCTGGAATAATGATTTAGCGATTGCTGAAAATTAGCAAAATATCAGCCAATTAATGTCAGAGCGGGGGTGACAGGTCTGAGTCACATCTTTGTGTTTGCAGGCAGACATTTGGAAATTGATGATGTTCCTCGGTTTATCTTGCTGCACTCAGTTCAGTTTCAGAAATCTTTGTGTAATGGGTAGCCGGGGAGGTATCAGATTCTCCTGAGCTGGCCATACATCCAAAGACCAGAGCGACCTATTTTTCAGCCATCATAACTGATAGTGCCTGGAATCGACAAAAGCTTTATTAGACACCTTGTTAGGGGAAGACTTTTCTCTAGGGAGGTCCACTGTCAGCACAACACAAAATAAAACTTTTAGACCTGGGAAATAATGGAATGTTTGGCTGTTTTCTTTACCAATGGAAATGAAAATGTACTCCAAATGAAGCTGATTTTATTTTTTTTAGTTTGTTTTTATTTTAGTTTTTTTATTTTCTGCATCTGGGAAATCTTGTTGTAAAAATGTACTTATTCCAAATTTCTTGCCACACACTCGCTGCTGCTGTCTCCTTCTAGCGGTGGGTAAATAGTGATGCTTGTTGCCATGCAGCCAGAAGCATCAAAGTGGTGGTATATTGGTGCTACTGTACTGATTTTAGAATGGTTCCCCTAATTTTCGAAGGGGGGGTTTTAGTTCCAAGCATATAGGATGGAATACGGCTCTCCATCACAATCAAGCAAGCAGTGAGGTGTGCTTTTGAATATGCAGCCCCCAGAGCTGTCATCTTCATCCATTTGGTTCCCAAGTCTATTCTGACACTTCTCACATACATATAAAAAAACATATTTGTTTTGCTAAAAAATTACTTAGAACCCCCAAACATTATATATATACATATATATATATATATATATATATATATATATATATATATATATGTGTGTGTGTGTGTGTTTTTTTTTTTTTTTTTTTTTTTTTTTAAAGCAGAGGCCCTAGAGAATAAAATGGTGGGTGTTGCAATTTCTTATGTTATTTACTATTTGTGCAGTGGTTTTCAAACATGATTTTTTTTAAATACGCTTTCTTGAATTTTAATGCGCAAAAGCACAATATAATACCCAATTGTTTGTAAGAAATAAAAGATAATCCTACACTGAGTAAATAGATATCTAACATGTCATGCTTTAAAATTGTGCACGCTTGTGGAATGGTAACAAACTGCAGCACTTAAAAATCTCCATAGGCGACACTTTAAAAGCCTTTACAGGTTACCAGTTTAGAGTTACACAGGAGACCTGGTGCTAGAATTGCTCTCGTAATGATTGCCGTGATACCTCACATGTGTAGTGTGAACACCGTTTACATATGTGTGTGTTACCTAGGAATGTATTCGTCTTTGTGCATGAGCATGGCGGGATGGGGGCACTTTACTATTTTATTAGTGCTAACCACTTAGCATATGCAAATGTTTGCCTTTCATTACTATTTTACACTGAATGGGTTGTTTTACAAGGTGATGGTTTACATATACTTTGCCAATGCTTGATTACACTTCAAAAAAAAACAAAAAACTCTTTTCCGGGTGAAATCTGAAATGTGACTATCAGTGCAGACCAGGGGCGGACTGACCATTTGGAAACGCGGGCACTGCCCGAGGGCCCGGGGTCAGTAGGGGGCCCCATGAGATGCCCCTGGTACCTTTTTCATAGGCTTTTTTGAGTTTGGGCAAGGACACAGGGGCCCCATGATCCCCTACTGCCCGGGGGCCCCATGAGTTGTCAGTCCACCCCTGGTGCAGACATCTGATAAAAGCAGTGAGCCAATCGCATAAAAAACGTGAAGAAGAATTCAGGAGGAATGGTTCATACCGACTTCCAGGTTGCCAAATTGCAAAACACAAATAAAAATTAAATGAAATATAAAAGGTCATTTTTAGAAACATTAAATTAGCTGACTTGTGCAGCAACCATATACTGCATATCATTGGGGCGAATGTGGAGTTTTCCTTTAAATAAAACCCAGAAATGCCATTTCAGCCCCCCGTCCAGCACGCTGACATCGGACTGGAATGCAGCTACAGCCCAGTCGGGTCTACATAGGCTGCCATTGTAACAAATCTTTTCCTTTGTATGTTTGACTCTGCGCACTTCTGCGACGGCACAATGCCAAATTTGGTTTATCAACAGAGACCCAGATACGTCTTATTTGCTTTCGGCTGTTTGTCAGTGAAATTACCTAGATGAGAAGTGACTGTTTTCCAGCACAAATGCATTGCACAGCCGAAGGATAGCCTAGATCACAGGCAGGGGATCAGACAGGGTGTCTTTCATATTTCCCACCTGAAAGGCCTTTTCTGGCACGAAAAATAGAATATTTGTTGAGTTTTAAATGGTAAGAGTAATAACTGTAAAATAATTCTGGACAAATGAAAATGTGGCTTATTGTTTTTAATAATGTCCAGTTCTTAAAAGTCATCAAATATCCCCAGCTAAGGTAAAACTTCAGGTAATTATTATTATTTTTTTGTTATATATAAGGGGGAAAGGGTTGGACTTGAAAGCTCTGTTAGGTGCTTATTGCTGCCAGTGTCCCCATTGTGGAGATGTTACCAAACTTCCAGCTGTGTCACCCAGACAGGAAGTGATAGGAATTGTCAGCTAATAGGAACCTCTGCCATTGTTTTGTGGTTTAGAAAGTCTAAGTAGGGGCGCTGGATTGGAAAATAAATTCATTTCGTAGTGAAGGATAAAGAGGCGGAGTGCCATGGCTCTGGTTAGGCAACTCTTGTACACAAAAGGTCCTCAGAGGGCACGTTGTTAAAAAACAGCCATCAGCAACCAGCTGTGGTCAACCTGCTTATATCAACATTCTTTTTTCCTATATTAAGATTTTTTTCACCAGAGGAAGTGATCACTTTAGAGACCATGAAACACAGGTTCACTGTTAAAATAGTTACTTTTATGGTGGCCATACACACATTTCAGCCTGGGTTCACACTGATGAGGTGCGAAATTTGCAGTGTTTTCTGTGTGAATTCCGCACCGCATCAGAATCGCACCCTGTTCATGTGATTGTTAAGTTAACAACACCCCGAAATCGGTCGGCAAAACGCGGTGCAATGTGCAGAATCGCATCAGGTGTGAATACCCATGCAATCCAATCCTAGTGCGGACCAAAAAAAGGGTCCTACACCTTTTTGGTGCAGATGTGGTGCGATTGGAACCATAAAAAATGTATGGCTCCGATTGCACAGCACACAATTCGCATGTTATTTGCACAGGAATGCGGTGCGGTTCCTGTGCGACTCACATGCGATATACCGCACCTCACAAGTGTGAACCCAGCCTCAATGTTATTAAGTGTTCTTGCATGGCAAGGCCACTTATTGTTATCTCACATATATATTCTTATTATAGCCAAATGTACCACCCTAACTCCTCCCACAGTTTTTACACTACATAGACAGTAATATACCAAAACGTACGTATTGTTCCAGATTGGTGTGCTATTACTTTGTGGAACGTTTCGCTGAATGGTTCACAAAATATCGCCGTTTTTGTGGTGAAATTGGTCCCATAGGAATGAATGGCGGAATGTTCAAAACTAGAGTGGGAGCTGACAAAAGCTAGAGTGTGAGCTGAAAAATCAGGACATGATTCTAAACTGCCATCACTCCCTCATTTTCAAGCCCACCTACACAAATCTTATATCAAAACGTTCAGCTATCCCTGCTGCCACTAAAAATGTCCACGACTAAGCCATAGTCCTGATAGTTTTCACAATATGACCATTTGTTTGCAACTCACGCCGCCCATTGACATTCATTGAAACTCCACTCTAGCCACCTCAAATTTGAAGGGCAATTTCTAAACTGCGACTGTGCCTTCATTTTTAATATTTCAGAGACATACTATGCATCAACATGTAGGTCTGGGTCTTGTGATTCTCACAATATAAAGCTATTCGGTGCAGGATTTATAGTTTTTAAACTACAACGGTTTGAAGATGGCAACTGCCAGTGAAGTGAGCAAGTTGGAGCAGTTTGTTTTTAACTGCTCTTCTCTGCCCTTGCTGTAGAGTGAGTTGCCATAGGAACCCAGGTGTGTGAGCACGCAGCAGAGTGACAAGCCACTCCACCCTGTTACTCCGCCCACTCCAGTTGTAGACTACTGGTGGAGGCAAGAACACTTCACACAATTTCCCCAGAAATTGTAGCTTTTCTAGTTATCTGATTGATGTGCCATTTGATCAAAACAATCAAACTGTCAGTCAATTAAAAACCATCACTTCCTTCCAATGATTGATGCTAGGTTTAGATTGGATCCCATCAATCGTTGTTGATTATCCAAGGACAATATTGTGGATCATTTTGCATCAATTAAAATCACAGAGATGGTCATGAATCCGATCTTACTTTAGTCAATAAGATTTTGAGACCGTGGAAATGGTGGACAGAGAGATGCAAAGATAACGTTCGATCGCATCTTACAACTATTGATCAAACTCCGCTTTCTCGTGTGTGGCATTATGATTGATTGGGTTGGTGAATATAGACCAATCATAAATTCCTATTGGGCGACATCAGTTGGAAAAGAAATCCGTTCTTTAAGTGTGTCTGGCAATCATTAGACTCTAAGTCCTGGTTCACACTGAGGCGGTGCTGCACATCGCATGTGATTCACACAGGAACCGCACCACATTCCTGCACAAATCACATGCGATTTCTGTGCGGTGCTATTTGAGCCATGCATTTTATTTACATTTAATTTCAAATCACACCGCATCTGCACCAAAATAGCACAGGAGCCTTTTTTTGTCTGCACTGAGGTGATTGTAGCCGTATTAGTGAATTTGCGACAGAAACAATTGAGTACTGTCCGTGATACTTTTTTTATTTGCACTGACATACAATTTTGAGGACAAGCTTTCGGGGTATGTCCCCTTCTTCAAAGTCCAAGCAGTACTATTACAAATCACAAAGTTTAAGCAGAATGTTAGAAGGGATGAAAAAAAAAAAAGGCTACAGATAAGATACAGCAAAAGCGAGGGGGGGAGGGGGGGGATACTACACTCACACAGAGGGAGTCAAGCTTCAGCTAATAGTCATAAAACTGTTGGATAATGGTTGAGGAATCCCATGTCCAAGTTAAGGCCGTTATCTCTTGTGTCAAATAGAATTATCATTCTTAATTCAAAAGTTTTTCTTTCCTGAATGGATTTGAATTTTCCTTTCAGAACTAAAACATTGAGGCCTCCCATTGTGTGGCCTGGTTGTGCAAAATGGTGTCCTACAGGTGTGCAGAACTAGAATCGAATCGCATGGGTGTACACACCCATGCGATCTGATTCTGCACATTGCATCGTGTTTTATGAGCCAATTTCAGGGTGTTGTTAACCTAAAGTACACACCCGCAGTGGTTCACATGAACGGGGTTCGATTATGATGCGGTGCAGAAATCATACAGAAACCGGTGAAAATTCCACAACGTATCAGTGTAAACCAGGGCTCAAACATTGGCGGGGCGCTCCTATTTCCCCAGTAATTCTGGAATGTTTTAGGATGTGTCAACTGACTTTTTTTTCCTAGCTTAATAGTCCTTTTTGAAATACTTTCAAGACAGAATAAAGATTTATGGGGTGTATTTACAAAAACTGGAGAGAGCAAAATCTCCGTGCAGGGAAGCCAATCAGCTTCTAATTTCAGCTTGATTGAAAGCTTTGGCAAGCAAAACTTGAAAGCTGATTGGTTTCTCTGCAGAGCTGTATCAGATTTTGCATGCTCTGGTTTTAGTAAATCCACCCCTGTGTATAAGAGGGAGCGTAAAAGATAAGAAATGTGCGCCCATGTTGTCTCGTCGAGGTTTGTGTCTCAGAGAGAAGATTTGCGATTCATTTTGTTACAAATTGAAATTTTGGACAAAATTTTTGTTATTCGGATACATCACAATAGTAATAAATTTCAACAAATCCAAAATAAATTATAAAGAAAACAATAAATTCATTTGTATTAATTTGTTTCATTTCAGAGGGTTTTGTAAACTCAATAAGTTGTGTCACACACTGTATTGCTATGATTGGTTTCGAGCAAGTCGCGTCGAAATCGCAAACAAGTCGCGATTCATAACAAATGAATCTGCATCTTCTGAAATAACTTCCGAAAATATGAATCAATTTGGAATATGCAAAACATGCAAAACATCTCCGAATATATGAAACTAATTTAAAAAACGAATCATTCTAACATAATAACATAATAAATATGATGAAATGAAATGATTTACTTAACCGATGAATCTGAAATTAAGCAAAACAATTTTTTCGTCATGCACATCTCTACTAGACGGGAACAAAATAATTAAGAAAGTAAAAACTTGAATTTAAAACTGGCCAATGTACATTAGTAGATTTTCAAGCAAATGTTCATGCAAATATTTGCATGATAATTTGTACAAAAATTGTCAGTACATTTCATGACATGATGAATGTCGTTTGAAAGTGCTTCAAATTGTCGAGAGTGCGCATGCGCGGTTGGTGGGATGGACATGTCTTCCTGAGGCTCCGCCACACCGCAGGGAAGACAGCCCCCCGACCACCGATCTTGGCCCGCGCCATCATATAAACGCCAGCATGGTCAGGGGAGCGTCCCGGCACCAAGCTCCGCCACCCAGCAAACCCATCAAGGAGGCCCTGGCACGAGCCTCCTCCAAGATGGCCACTGCACCCTCTCCTGGCAGCAAGCAAGTTGGACAGACATATGACCCAGAGACCCCC